CCCCCTCTGTCCCTCCCCCTTTCTCTCTCTTTCTCTCTCCCTCCCTCTCTCTCTCCTTCCTCCTCCCTCCCCCTTTCTCTCTTTCTCTCTCCCTTCCTCCCCCTCTCTCTCCTTCCTCCTCCCTTCCCCTTTCTCTCTCCTTCCGTCACCCCACTTCAAACCTCTCTCCCTTCCTTCACATTTTGTTTCTATAACCATCATAATGACTCCCCAAAGAGGCGGCCATAATCGTGTACTAGTAGTAAAGTGGTCATCCTTGAAAGCTGGCCCTGGACAGCTATTATAAATATAGAAGTAAAAAAAATACTGAGGGAAAATTGGAATAGGTGTCGTTTGTACAGGTAGGTGAATGCCTTGTTGGACAGGGGGTCGTTAGTAGAGTAGTATGCTCAACTGCACTTACGTAACCCGGAGAAATATTTTGTTTGTTTGTAAATTGTTAGTAGGGGCTAAATTGTTCGTTTGTTTTTTTTAGTTTAAAAAAAAGAAGAAGAGTTTAAAAAGAAGCACATTGAAAATACAAGGACTTCCTATGCAGGGGAAACACAATAGGTAACACAGACAGAAACTACAAGAGACACAAATGAGGGCCTACCAGTGGCGCCCTCCAATTCAACAATTGTGTAACCAATTCTACTTTAAATTTATCTCAGTCAAACCCGTAGGCCTACAAGGAAATGCAAGCTAGGCAGAAACAACACCTACCACACATATTACAGGACCCCCCCCCCCCAAAACAACTTAAAAATACTTTTTTTTGGTAAATATTTTACGGCGCTTGCAACTGCATAAGGTCATATCAACGCCCGGGACACATCAAACATTTTCAGTAGGTAGGAAATTTTGAATTTTTCCCTGGTGGCGGCCGAAATCTACTCTTATCGATTTTGGACCACCAATGGATTTTTAACGTGCGCGCACAGGACCTAAGAGATTTTTCGCCCTTACCCGAGAAGGCTAGATGTAGATCTTACCTAAAATAAGAACAGGGGTGTGGCTGAAAGACAGCAGTAAGAAGAAGCCAAGGACTGAAGTAGCAGTAGAAAGAAAACACTTCAAATAATAACTATATTGTAATTATGGAAAAAGCTCATATTGATCTCCCTTCGTGAGTCCTCCAAAGTTGCCAAGCACAATGAAACAATCCTTGAAACTGGAAAGTGGTCACGATCAATGAGTGGAGGGGCTAAGGGAACTTATCATGACCTCAGTAATTCTATTCTCACAGTTGAAGTTGAAGACTCCAGTGGAAAAAAACAGGCAGCTAGGTAAATTCACTTTTTTATAAAGTGGAGAAAAATGGAAATTCAAAGCTTGAAAGTTCATTCGTGACTCACTATGAGTGTAGCGTTTCTTTTACCTTGCATAGTACGACGTGACAGAGTTGGGTTATCCACGGGTTTCATTTATGGATAAGAAAGTTGGATTTTTAAAGAATGCAACCAGGGGAAAAAAAAAAACTCATTCAAAATAAAAACTATGACTTATCTGTTTGTTTGGGGGGTTTTTTCTTTGGAGTCTTCAGTAGTTTTGAGACTGCTGGTTATGTGAAATTGCGCTATGGACGTTTGTGTGTGCGTGGGTAAGTGTGTATACAGATGAGTGTGCTAGTGTGTGTGTGTGTGTATGTGCGTGTGTGTGTGTGTGTGTGTGTAAGTGGGTATTCAGATGAGTGTGCTAGTGTGTGTGTG